AGCCAACCACAGCCCCATCACGCCAATCTCAACCTTAAGGCGAGCTACAACACCGTTTATCGAGGAAGGTTACATGCAAGACTATTTGTGACTTTACTGCCCATCTATCTTTAAATGATATGTATATTGCTGCTTTCATGTGGAGATGATCCATTTAACGGAGGTAATAAACTTTAGACTTGGCCCTATTTTGCCGAATAATTGGTCGGTTAATTGAAATTGGCCAGTTAAAGCACAACTTGCATATGTATGAGATTTACGACCAGCAGATTGCCTTGTGGCAACATCTACTGTTCCTCTGGCTCTCGATTCATGTTTGATCAACATTGATAAACTCTGAAAGTCATGTTTAGGAAGGCTTGGCCACCAGGACTCGCAATGCAGTAATTTGTTTAACATATTGGTACCAAAAATACAGTTTCCCCCTGTAAGAGGGTGATAATGGACAGTGTAAATATTTGACATTCTACCGTTGAGTGGACATGTACATACACAGTAGCCAGCGATTAAACGCAACCCAATTAAATTTAATAAAACAATTACAGTATTCGGCGAGGGTAATAAGTCGCGTACATTTGTCTTTATACTGATAAGCAAAATTAGTATTTCTCCTCTCATGTGAAATTTCATTATTTCGTTAAAAGCTACAAAAACTGTCTGGCTGAACGAAACTTTTAAGTACTTGTCTTACAGTTCACAAAGAAAGTTGAAACAATGACGGAAGAGAAACACGAGCCTAGGCACAACCTGACGTCAAACACACTAAGTCACCCAGAGTAACACTGTCAAACACTTGCTCTGTACACTTGGAATGCCTAAGAAATATGAAATATAACCTTCATCAAGGATAGCAGTGGAAAGAAGAATCGGCAGACAACTAATACAAAACAGTATAGCGAGTTTTGCTGAGCCTGGTAACGTTAACATCAGCCTCTCCACTCCACAGAATATTTACCCAGTACTTAGAAACACTGGTCTAAATTACACTTTCTGAGGACGTATGAAGCTTAGAATGCTGGTAGGAGAACACTGTTTTTACTAAATACATTTCATAATAATTTTAAAGTACGTTTGGTGTCTTGCAAAACGAACATTTAAACCTATACAAAGACTATTCCACTGATATGTAAGTTTTCACAGCGCTGGAGAACGTCGTGGACGTCAGTACAAAGTTTCTTTCCTGTAGCTATTGTACAATAAATATATGGACAAGGGGAAGCTTCCGGCTACAGCCATAATCACATAACAAGTGTCCTGAGTGAGAGAAATGACAAACTTTACATTCTTTAAGTCTAAACGGTTCTTTTTTGACATGTATTAATTAAAGCGATATAAATATCTTCAGCAACCGGCAAGGAATATTACCAGGAAAATGTTTGTCATTAATTGTCTCTTATAAATCAGTGTGAGGGAAAAATTCATTAGATAGGAGTGGAAGTATGAATGTTGGGTGTAGTTTGTTGGGTAGTATGCTTGTTGTTAGGTGTGTGCATCGTTACTGCTCCCCCCCCCTCCTACACCCGGTGGGAGATGACGGGTGTCCCTCCCACCAGTTGACAGTCACTTGACTTTCGGCTCCCATCAAGTCTAAGTATTCAATCCACTCGTGTTTAATGTGTTTTGGTTGATTTGGTAAATAAGATCTTCACTCCCGTTTAGGTTTTTATTTATTTCAACGTGACCTGATTGGACTTCCGTAGTGTAACTTAATCATTTTTAGTCTCCCCATTTCTTTTGAAGACAGTATGCCTATCATGTGATTTCTCGAGTGGTTTGTAACCTTTTTTTCTTTATTTTAGCGTGGACTGTCTACTCGGGTCATCTTACATCGGCGAGATAAGAAGGGCAGCTTAGATCTTTCCCAGATCTGAAAATTAATCTGGCATGTGTACCTAAACTGGTCCCCTTCCACTCATAGCTGACAGGCAACTATACACCATCCTACAGCCATTCTCCAGTTATCACCCCACCCAAGTTTCATGGTGGTTCACGACTGGCGACTCTACTGCTTGTGATTTTCAGAGGATCCCAGTATCTCGATTCTTCAGGAACACTGCAGCAGGCCTTCTGGCCCATGTGAGGCAGCTTAGACCAATGGCCCACCCAGTCAGGTCACCTCCACTTAAGGAAGGAGCACGGCATCTGACCCAGTAGCACCAGCTAGTCAGGTCCAACTCACGCCCACCCACCCACACCCACTCATGTATTTAACCTATTTCTAAAACTACACAACGTCTTAGCTTCTATGACGGTACTCGGGAGTTTGTTCCACTCATCCACAACTCTTATTACCAAACCAGTGCTTTCCTATATACTTCCTGAATCTGAACTTTTCCAGCTTAAAACCATTGCTGCGACTCCTGTCTAGGCTAGATATTTTTAGCACACTATTTACATCCCCTTTATTCATTCCTGTTTTCCATTTATACACCTCAATCATATCCCCCCTAATTCTACACCTTTCTAGAGAGTGCAGATTCAGGGTCCTCAGTCTATCCTCATAGGGAAGATTTCTGATAAATGGGATCAACTTTGTCATCCTCCTCTGTACGTTTTCCAGAGCATTTATATCCATTCTGTAATACAGTGACCAGAACTGCGCAACATAATCCAAATGAGTCCTAATCAAAGATATATAGAGTTGAAGAACAACTTTAGGATTTCTATTATTTATGCTTCTTGATATGAAGCCAAGGATTCTGTTAGCTTTATTGTGAACACTTATGCACTGTTGTCTTGGTTTTAGATTACTGCTAACCAGAACTCCTAAATCCTTATTGCAATCAGTAATATTAAGAGTTACATTATTTAGTTTATATGTGGCATGGTTATTATCCTTTCCAACATTTAGAACTTTGCATTTGTCTATATTAAACTGCATCTGCCACTTCTCCGACAACAGCATCAGTCTATTCAAATCATTCTGGAGTGCTCTAATGTTCTCATTAGAATGAATTGGACGGCCTATTTTGGTGTCATCAGCAAATTTGCTTATGTCGCTAATTATTCCCTCATCTATGCCGTTTATGTAAATTGTGAACAACAACGGGCCCAACACTGACACCTGTGGAACACCGCTTGTGACGTGTCCCCATTCTGATTTCTCCCCATTTATGCAAACTCTCTGCTGCCTATTTGTCAACCATGCCTCTATCCAGGAAAAAATTTCTCCTCCTATTCCGTGTGCCTTAAGTTTCCTCGATAGCCTCTGATGTGGAACTCTATCGAAAGCCTTACTGAAGTCCATATACACAATATATTCAATACCACGATCTACCTCCTAGTAAATTCGTAAGACAGGAACGCCCCTTTGTAAAACAATGTTGAGATTCATTAATCAATTCATGCCTTTCAAGATGACTATGAATTGCCTCGGCAATTATTGATTCCATAAATTTTCCCACTATGGAGGTAAGGCTTACTGGTCTATAGTTCTTAGCTAAGGACCTGTCACCTGCCTTGTAAATAGGTATTACATTTGCCTATAAATCACACCCAAAATTAACTTTTCAAGACCCTCGAGAAACTGTAGCCAAACAGACTCCGTGTCTTACCTTGATAAGCAGGGGAGTCAGTGGTACCTTTAATCTCACTAACCACTGAAGTACACTCGTCCTGGAGAACAGAGAATCGATTTCCTACCTTTACATATTCTCTATTAACCTTCCTTATCATCCTTCTTCCTGAATTGTGAACCACTTGCCACTTAAAGTGGCTGCCACTCGTGTTGGAGTGTCTCTTCTTCAAGTGTTACAACAGTCACGTCCACCTGTGACCCCCCCCCCCTCATCAACAACGGCTCAGTGTCCCAAACCCAGTGTCCCAAACCAAGAGTCAGAGCTACGTTCCCAGAACATCGGTACATTTATATCAATTATTGTCCACATATTAGCTTTGAGTCACGAATTATATATTCAAACAATCGCAGACTATGCAAGACAAGCCACGGGAGGTGGAAATCTTTACCTCAAGTACATGTATATATACATACATTTCATTTTTCATTCTTTGCTTCAGGTAGGATTAATTGTTTAAATGCTATATTCTATACCAGTTCTACATATTAATAAAATTGTTTGATTTTTCTAGCTTTTAATTTCCATAAGGAGGAATCTGCCATATCAAATACTCTTTGAAGGTCTGACAGGGATGCTGAACCTTCACAATCAGTATTATAAAGTAATGAGTGAATTTTGTTCTACCCATCGCCTCATCACACGAATTTTTCCTAGTAACCATTGTAGGTAGATCGTATAACCAGAGCAGTCGATGTATTTATATCTTAAATTATATCTGAGAAGGATACGTAAGCCTGCGGGCAGCAACAGCCTGGTTTATCAGACGATTAAGGCAAGTAACTGGTCAGGCCTCAGGTTGTTGGGAGAAAACACACACACACACACACACACACACACACACACACACACACACACACACACACACACACACACACACACACAGTGAAGAGGCGGGGTCAGGAGCCGAGTCTCGACCCCTGCAACCACAATTAGGTGAGTACACACACACACACACACACACACACACACACACACACACACACACACACACACACACACACACACACACACACATACACACACACACACACACACACACACACACACACACAATCCTCCGTGCTGGGCATGGTGATATCTTGCGACATTTTAACAGAAATTATTTTAATCAAAGAAAGCGCTAAACTTAGCGGAGAAATAAACAGCTCAGTGTAGCAGCTACATGTACTTGTGACCAGTTTCGAGGGTTTTTCTTTTCTCGCAGCCCAACCTGAAACAAAACTTCTTGATGACCACCAGGCTGTTAGTGCTAACAGTCCGCAGTCCCACGCAACAGGATGTTATCCGGCGGCTTCTTGAAATCTTGAAATCTAGTCTTCCTTTCAGCAGTATTCCTAATAACTGCTGGAAACTTGCTTTAATCTTGGACTATAAAAAATATTTAACATCTAAAATAACAAATGCATCATATGAAGTACTCACTTGTTAGGCTCATTGGGATCCTTCTTCTTCTTGCTCTTCTTGGAAACCTTGGGTTTCTTTCCTCTGGCTGGGCCTTCTACACTCTCTGATGACGGCCTCTTACCCCGACCCATCTGTCAACAACATACAATAATTAATAAACATAACATTTAATTAAATGTCAATACTCTCGATAACTTCTAACATTAGCTTTTGCTAATACAAACTTGGAAGAAGCTTAATTAACTCATAAAAAATTAGAAGTAAATTCAGACTGAGACAATATGGTTCACGTCCACAACGCCTTCCTCTGCCGTCATGGAGACTTTAACTAGTGCCTATTGTTCCGAGGTCTACTCTTTGAGGCTGGTCTTCTGTGCAGAATTAAGACACTGTGAGACTTCAGAGAAAATACAGGATGTTGGGTTTTTAGGTTTAAAGCTTTTCTACTGTCGTGTTTCTATAAGACAGCAATCCGCTTGTAAACAAGAATTTAATCCAAGAATAGGATTTTAAGGCATATACTGTATATACATCCATCAATGTGTATAACCTGTATACACAAAATGATATTCGTATACACCACCTAATAGACGTTTCACCTGTTATACAGCTGTTCTGACATAACATCCTAGTTCAGCTAATTGAGATAAGTTATTTTAAATTACAAACGAACATCAACAAGGTGGTCCATTGAGCAAAGGAAATAACATATACAACGGTTACGGCTGCTTTGACAGGAAAGAATTTACGAACTCAAAAAGAAAAACGGATACAAAGAGCTGGCAGACTATCTCACAGAACGAAAAGAACATGGAAAAGATGTAGGAGTAATAATGTCATATGACGTATCGTTTAACGAACACTAATAAGCAAATAAAGCAAAGGCCAGAAAAAAAAAATGACAGGGTCGATAAAGAGAATCCACACCATTGAGGATATTATTCAAATTAGGCTGCTCTCCCGTCTCGAATATTGTTGCATGCTCACAGTATCTTTCAAGGAAGGAGAGATATATTAGCTGGAAAAGGTACAGAGATCGTTTACTGTATAAGTAAATCATCTAAACTACTGGGAACGAATGAAATTATTTAGTATACTGATGAAGTCTGCTACGCAGACGAAATGTTTCGTCTTATTTGTCATGGAAGTTCCACGAGGGCCAGTTTTTAAATGTGTACACCACAATAACAATTTACCAGAGAGATGCGGGAGGGTGGATTGAATAAATTCACTAAAAAGTAGGGGTAACAGAGGCACAATTGGAGAATATTGTATCAACATCCATGGGCAGATTCTTCAGTCTCCGAACCAGAAGATATCAGAAATATTGTCAAAACAAAGGTAGACGTTTTCAAGATGAAAGTAAACCTCTATCTCTGGCAAGTACCAGATCAGAGCCAGGCTGTGATGGCTATGTAGGCCTGCAGGTCGCGGTTGACAACACAACAATGAAACTTGGCCTCAGTCAGTCTGGGCTACGAAGATGGAACACTTAGAAATCACATATTGGGATATTTTTCATTAGACTAGGTTTTGTAGTTCAAATTATGTTAGGTTAATCTAGGATAAGTAAATGCAATGTAACCTAACAACAAGGGCGAACAATGAAAATGTTCTCTGGCGGTAACACCAGATGGATTCTTTATAAATGAATCCTCATTACGATGATGAGCACTACCACACACCATTAGGCGTATAAAAATTTATTTATTATATATATATATATATATATATATATATATATATATATATATATATATATATATATATATATATATATAGGGAGGTACCACCTCTAGAACTGTTATAGGGACCCTCATCCTCAGAGAAAAGAATAAACTTGCTTCAGAGAAAACTCAAGGTTCTCCCTGAAACTGTTTGAGAATTTTCTCCTACCACCCCCTATATTTTATATATATTTTATTTAAAGACAAAATACATTGACAAAACATTCACAAAAATACGATAGAAAGTAAAGCAACATAGGTAACTCAGAGCTACATCTCGAATACTTCGTCCAGCTCCCCGGCTGTGGGCCGCATGCCCAGAATGCTGCAGGCATTTCCTCTCTGGATCGCAACACTGAGTCTCTGAAAGAGGAAGCTGGTCGCCCTGTGGTCCTTGGTTTCTATGATGAGCTTTTCACCCAGCTCTATTAGGAACTTTAGAGCACACTTGCCCCATGCTCCAAGGGTCTCCGACCCTATTGGGATGAAGTTATAGCAAGGGAGAAGGTCTTCATATTTGCGGATCTTCTGGGTCTCCCTGTGGCTGGCAGCTCCACCCCCTTCCACTACGGAGTATGGCAAGTAGGTGTCTGCCAATGTGGCGACACATGTGTAGTCCCAGGCAATCTGCTTTCCATCCTTCCAAGGTAGCATAGTGGCTCCATCAGGACGCTTTTGACTTCCATCAGACCTCTGCACTTGGGGTTCCCGTTGAGCTGGGCAACGGGCTGTGGCGAGGCTTCTCTTTATGTCATTGACCTCCTCATGCCTGGTATACTTCCCTTCTGCTGTGTGACACACGAGACCATGAAGTCCGAATTGATCAGCTGTCGCCCTGCCGCAAATACACCTATGTTCGGTGAGGATGGGGACGACTAGGCGAAGAGCAACACCAATCCGAATGGCCTGTGGGTCTAGTCGAGTGCCCAAGGAGGAATTGGGAACAGCTAACAGGAAATCTCCTGAGTGCGGTGCCTTCACTGCCAGGAGACGAGCTTTGTCCTTTCCTGAGGCATTGGAGAGCATTGTGTTGGCGATTTTTTCCATGATCGGTTTGTCCCAGTGGGACTGTTTGTGTTCTTTGGGAGGAGCTGGTCTACTGGAGGAGTCTGTAAGGGTGTCCCACCGAATCGCTGCTTCAGTAAACCTGGGGTCTTGAGCTCCTACCACGTCTCTCAAGCGTTCGGGCACTATCTTCTTGACTAATGCACTGGAAGCCAAACACGAAGACAGAAAAGCAGGTAAAGCAACATGCGTTGCTTTGCGCACCCCTATACCTCCCAGTCATACTGGGAGGGTTGCCTGATCCCATTGCTGATCCTCTAGTGACAGGTTCAGTGCCTTCTTAAGGGTTGACCTCAGGTGTGCGTCATATTCGTGGAGTGTTGGGTTGTCAAAAGAGGGTGCACACCTCAGGAAGTAAGTGAGTCTTGGAATAGTAAGGCACCTTGTGAGGAGATACAGAGCATCATGGGCATCAAGATTGCTTATTCTCTCCTCCATTCTCATCAGGTCATTCAATTTGTCCTTGAGGACTGTGTCGATGGCCTGGTGACCCAGCGGTGCTCCCAGGAGGGTACCGTTGGACGGAGTGGTAGTAGAGACTTCTGGGAGGATTCTTCACACAGCATTGATTATTTCCTGGTTCGCTGTGATGATTTCACACTTGGAGGGATTGAGGATGAGTCCCAAGTGTGTTTTCATCAGCTGTAGGTCCCCTACCAGGGACTCATCAGTACCTGCCAGAGTGCCATCATCCAGGTACCAGATGTTGAGCTCGCTGCGTAGGCTGGAAGTTAGTTCTCTTACTGCCAAGCAGAAGAGAAGTGGAGCTAGTGGGTCACCCTGCTGAACACCTTCTGATGAGAGAATTTCATGTTCTCCAAACAAAAGAATTGAGGGTTTACTGTAGCCGGCTGAAATGAAGGGAAAAAGACTGGGGAAGTGATCCCGAACAGCTGACAAGACAGCATCTCTCTTTACCATATTAAAGGCATTTCTAAAATCAAGTTTGACTACGGCCTTGTCTTCTGGTAGGTCCCTGATGTAGGCCCTTGCCGCATGAGCTGCAGCTTCACTGCCTTGAGGGACCCCAAAGCCCAGTTGGTGTGGCTGGAGTAAACTGGCAGCTTCTAGGCGAATGTTACTTACTGCTGCTTTGGCAAAGAGACGGCGAAGAGTGTTTCCAACCGCAATATATATATATATATATATTATTATATATATATATATATATATATATATATATATATATATATATATATATAATATATATATATATATATATATATATATATATATATATATATATTATATATATATATATAATATATATATATATATATATATATATATATATATAATATATATATATATATTATATATATATGTTGTGCCGAATAGGCAGAACTTGCGATCTTGGCTTAAATAGCAACGCTCATCTTGCCATATAGGACAAGTGAAAATTTGTGTATGCAATAATTTCGCCAAAATCATTCTGAACCTAACGAAAAAAATATATTTCATTGTGTTTGTTTAGTATTAAATTATTGTAAACAAATCTAAAATATATTTAGTTGGGTAAGGCTAAAATAAATTGCTCTTGTTATAATAAGGTTAGGTAAGTTTTCTACGATTCTTTTGTTGCAAAATTAAATTTTTTTACATTAACATTAATGAAAAATATATATCTTTAAACGTATAAGAGAAAATTATAGAAAGGACTTAATTTTAAATGAGTTCTTGCTAATTGACCAGTTTTACATATTCGGCACGACATATATATAATTATATATATACATATATATATATAATTTATATATATAATTATATATATACAATATATATATATAATTTATTATATATATATATATATATATTATATATATATATATATTATATATATATATATATATATATTTTATATATATATATATATATATATAATTACATATATATAATGGATGCTTGAATGTGCGTAGATGTAGTGCGGATGACAAGAAACAGATGATTGCTGATGTTACGAATGAAAAGAAGTTGGATGCCTGGCCCTAAGCGAAACAAAGCTGAAGGGGGTAGGGGAGTTTCGGTGGGGAAATAAATGGGATTAAATCTGGAGTATCTGAGAGAGTTAGAGCAAAGGAAGGGGTAGCAGTAATGTTGAGGATCAGTTATGGAAGGAGAAAAGAGAATATGAATGTGAAAATACAAGAATTATGTGGATTAAAGTAAAGGTTGGATGCGAAAAGTGGGTCATAATAAGTGTGTATGCACCTGGAGAAGAGAGGAATGTAGAGAGAGAGATTTTGGGAGATGTTAAGTGAATGTATAGGAGCCTTTGAACCAAGTGAGAGAGTAATTGTGTTAGGGGACCTGAATGCTAAAGTAGGAGAAACTTTTAGAGA